CGCCGGTCTACTTCACCGTGTGCGGCGTGCAGCCGGGTGAAGGAGTACTCCTCACGCGCGACCGAGAAGGCGACACCAGGCCTTACCACCTCGCCGGTGAGTGCACGTGTCGTGTGTGTCGTGTGTGTCGTGTGTCGTGTGTCGTGTGTCGTGTGTCGTGTGTGTCGTGTGTCGTGTGCTGACCACTACCGACATGGCAGAGCACGGATCGACCGTACAGACGAACATCGATCACTGGAGCGAGGACCCGGATGAAGACATCATGTGGTCGATCCAGCGCAGGGCCATTGCGCGTAAGACGCTCAAGTCCCTCCGAAGTAAGTCGGCGCCCATCACCGAGGAGGTACGACCGATCTATCCGCAACCCCACGTGGGAGCAGTGGCTGACATTTCTGGGGCGGTAGGTCCTGTGGAAGCTGATGTCCACGACCCCGATTCTGAACGAGCTCACCCTGTCGGGCACCTACATGCTGCCAGCCAAAGGTGCGCACGCCACCGCATGCGCGCACGGCGACGATGACATGATAGTGTTTAACTCTTCTTCTCCACGCGGACGCTCGTACAGGAACCTTGCGCACCCGATTGCCGCAGAGCAATCATTGTGGGTTCACGCCCACACGCAGACCTCTCCCGCAAGGCGGGGAGGAGCGGGTTCCATGCGGCAAATGTACTTACTCTACCACCTATTGTAGCCTGTTCTCTCGCTCACACACGACCAACGACACGACACGACGCACAACAACAGGCGGGACCAGGTTCCTCTTCTCGCTCAACCCGACCGAAGATTGCGCCCATGTGGGCGAATGGCACAGCTCCTTCGAAGACTGTAGCTATATCAAGGTGCTGGCGCAATCCTTCTTTAGAATCGTCTTCTCTTCCCCACCACTCTCTCGGTCTCACTGCGCCTGTTCGTTCAGTGCGGCCTCGGGTTGAAGACGTCGATCGGCCTCAAGGTACCAAATGTCTCGCCGGCCCTGCTTTTGCTGATTCTCAAGACTCGTGTAATTCTCACGCACACTTGTGTTTCGCACAGCACTGGTCGTGTTGCTTTGCGACGTCGCACGACTCCAAGTGCCCAAAAAGTGGAACGCACGACGCCGACGCCAAGCTGGCGTCGGCCTAGTCTCTGACCTATTCGCCCCCAGACTGGGTGGAAGGAAGCCCACACAACGCCGCCGGCGCTGGGCCATATGTGCTCACTTCCTTTAACATATCTGATTTGTATTATTCAATACACGGGCCTAGGCGTGGGCGGCGGCGGCTGAGCCCGAGCCGAGCGCGCGGCGCTTGAGTTCGCGCCAGATGAGCTGTCGCTCCCTGGCCGTGCCGCCGAGCACGGAGCTGTTCTCCTGCACGCGGCGGATGAGGTACGGCATCACGTTCTCCAGCGGCCCGTACGGCAACAGCTTGTGCGCGTTGTAGCCCAGCTGACCTGCTCACACCACCGCACCGCCCACACCGACCGCACCGTGAGCACCACCTTCTGTCGATGTATGATGGGGGCTGCTACGTACCGAGGCTCAGTGTGAGATCTTCGCACATGCCCATCAGCTGGGCAAAGTTGACGCGGGTGGAGGACTTGTCGATGGCCAGCCGCTGCATCTCGCTCATGGCCTTCTCCACCGACGCCGAGTTGTGGGTGGCCACCACCAGCGCCGCGCTGCCGATGTTTCGCAGGAGCAGCGCAATCGCCACGTCGTACTGGACGTCGGTGCTCTCCTTGCTGTCGACAATGGGCAGCGGCAGGCCGTGCTGCCGGGCGTGCTGGGTCTCGGTGTGAATGTAGGCTCCGCGCACCACCTTGGCGCCCAGGATGTAGCCGCCGTCGCGGGCGTGGGCCAGCTCGCTCTCCAGGTTGTCGAGGTTCCCCTGGAGGTACATCTGGAACGTGTTGAACACCACCGCCCTCTCCCTGTTGAACTGCCGCGACAGCTTGCGCGTGAACCAGTTGATCGCCGGTTGCCTGTGTGTGTCGTGTGTGCGTGTGTGCGTGTGCGTGTGTGTGCGGTGGTGTGCGTGTGGTGATGCGTGGGTGGGTCAGCAAGGGGTGGGGATATCTGGGGCGGTGGGCGGCGGCGGTGGGGGAACCTGGGCGTCTGCTCGGCATCAAAGAGGAGGGAGAGGTTGGCCTTGCTGGCCTCAGCGCAGATGGCACTGAGGCGCTCGTTGGCCTCGCTCAGCTCCCGGCGTTCGCCCTGGCTCAGCGGAGGCACCACCGCGTCCTCTGCCAAAGCGGTACTCGTCAGAGTCAGGTCTCTCTATACCTCACATCTCCGAGGTGATCCCGGCGCGTACTCTTGGTGGGGAAGCCGAGGCAGGGCTGGTAGCGATAGCCCTCCATCCAGGCGTTGTCGACCGCAGCTTGGTCGCTGATCAAGATAAAGGTGAGCGGTCGTGGCGTGTGTGCGTGTGCGTGTGCGTGTGCGGCGCGTGTGGCGTACTAGATGACGCCGCTCATGCGCTCGAGCAGCGTAGGCGCGCACAGGCCGGTGACCTTGAGCGGCACGAACCGCACGCGGTCGCCGAACGTGGCGGAGTAGTCGCGCATCTTCTTGATGAGCCCCTCCGTGTTGCTGTTCCACTCCTCGAGGCTCAGCGCGTCCTACAATCCGCGATGGGCGTGAGCGCTCAAGGTGGCTAGAGAGGAGAAAAGGCAGCAGAACAAGACGACGAAGAGGAGAAAGAGGTGCACCTCGACAGAGTAGTCGAAGATGCAGCGCACGCCGCTACGCTCGTACTGGCCGACCACGTCGCCCACACCGGCCAGCGTCTCGCCGGCGCAGAAGTGGCGGAAGAACGTGGCCCGCATCACCGCGTCCGAGGGCCGGCCCAGTCCCACCTTGCTCAGCCCCTCCAGCAGCTGCCACGCACGACCAAGTCGCAGGTGGTGAGCACTCACAAACCAGAAGAAGAAGGTGGTAAGAGGGTGGTAGGTTATGTACCTGGGGGCCGTAGCGGGAGAAGGGTTGGTAGAGGGAGCACATGTGGAGGATGGCCAAAGAAAAGGCGAGGGAACGGTTGGACTTGGAGCGGAAGACGCGCTCGGTGTCGGTCAGCTGCAGCAGGTCCTCCCCTGTGCTCGGCGCGCTGGAGGCTGCGCTCTTGGACACCAGCGGCGTCGTGGGGGCCGACGCGGTCGAAAAGGCGACGGCAGAGCCACCAGGCCGGCAACGGCCAAGCAGGTGGGGGGCCACCGCCGCCATTGCCGCCGAGGGCGAGGACGAGCTCAAAGTGCGGGGCACTCCACCCCGCATACCTAGAAGAAGAACAGACTTCATTATCTATGAATCCTTTCGCTCTTTCCGGCCGACCAGCCAACGCGCCGCCTTCACTTCACCTTCACCTTCAAGAGACAGAGAAAGAAAGAAAGCCACAAAGCTCCGGAAGTCGTCTCCTATCCCGGTTCATCGTTCGATTACGAAAAAAGGAACGACTAACACATTCTCAGGAATGCGTGTAAACGACGCAGGAATGTGTCAGCTTTACGTTCATAAGAGTTGCGGCCTTGCTTGGCAAGCTCTACGTGTCTTTGGTGAAGGTGGCCATGGAGCGCCTCGCGCTTCGTCGCACGGTGCGGGCGGCCGTCGGGGTGGCGTTGAGGGAGAGCAGGTCGACGATCTCGGTGGCGCGTCGCCGGCGCTTGGCCATGCGACGACGCGGGGTGAGGCCGTCGTCGTTCTCCCGCTCCGAGGCCGAGGTCTCCGTCTCGCTCTCGCTCTGGTCCATCTCGCTCTCACTCTCGCTCCGCTGCTCGCCGTCCTCTCGGGCACGCTTGCGGGGCGTCGTGTTGCCCTCTGCGTGTCCAGAACGTTAGCGCGACAACACACACGACACACAAGAGAACAGCGCATGGGGGGAGCATACCAGCAGGGGTGGCAGACTCGGGCGAGGCCCAATGGGCGAGGATGGAGGCAATGTTCTCCTTCTTTGTCCTGCCGTGCGCAAGCCCGTGGTCCCTGCAATATTCTGAACGCGACAGAACGAGAGGGAGGTATGTGTGAGAGCGACGATTCGATGTGTAGACAGAGAGTCGGGTCGAGCGTACGCCGGAGCACGGTGTTGCTGAAGCCCTCCAGGTCGTCGTGGGTGAGACCGGGCTTGAGCTCCCCGATGTTGGAGAGAAGGCGGGAAGCTGGGACAGGAAACGAAACGAAAAGGCACAACACACACACAAAGGTGAGTTTCACCTCTTCCTCGCCCCTATCCGCCGGTCGAAGAGTGTACCTCGGCGAGAGGGAGTAGAGGGCACCGGGACGTCCTCCTTCTCAGTCTCCTCTTCCTCCTTTTCGGCTTGAGGCTTTTCCAGTGGTTCCTCCTCCTTTTGCTGCTGCTCCGCGGCGTCGTCTTCCTTGGCCGGGGCGGCGCTGGCTTCTTCCGTGTTCACTTCTTCCTCGTCCCGCGCCTCGCTTGGCATCTGCACCGCGAGTGCCGCTTCCTCCTCCTTCTCCGCCGCCGCCGCCGGCTGCGCCGCAAGTTCTTCCTCCTTCGTCTGCTCCTTGTTCTCTTCCTCCTCGTCGTCGCTCTCTTCCATTGATAGGATCACCGCCTCTTCCACGATGGGCTCCTGCTGGAACGCGTTATCGTGTCCCTCCTCGACGACCACCTCCTCAACTGAGATCTCGAAACCGCTCAGCTCGGTCACCGCCACCGTCTCCGTCTGGATCGCGACCTCCTCCGTTCGGACCTGCTCCGGGACCTCCAGCTCCTCCTCGGCCTCCTGCTCTTCCTCCTCCGCGGGGAAGACGGACTCTTCGTGTATGCTCGCCTCTGCCGGCCGGTCGACCGACTGCTCCTGTGGCGTCAGCGATCCCAGAGCGGCATCGGTGGATAGCTCGAGCTCCAATTCCTCCATCCCGTCTTCTTCGCCGGCCTTGCCTTCATCGTCCTCGTCCTCGCCGGCGATGGCGGACACGGACACGGACGCCAGGCCGTTCATCGATCCGTCCAGGTTCTGCTCGCCTTCGCCTTCATCTTCGTCTTCTGCTTCGTGATCTTCCTTCATCTCGGACTCTTCGTCTTGGTGTTCGCCCTTTGCCTGCTCTGCCGCCTCCTGCTCGATCTCATCTTCCTCCATTTCCATTCTTTCTGCTTGATCCTCGATCGAGGCGTCCGCATCCGCCTCTGCATAGCTCTCGGAGTCGGCCTCTTCACCATCCATGCCGATGTCGAAGACCCACATCACGAGACGCTCGATGAGAGTGACCTTGTCGGAGGGCGGCGTCGCTGGCAGGAGCCCCCACTCGGCCCACAGGCGCTGCAGCTGCTCCGGCGACAGTCGATCGAGGAAGCTCTCGAGGCCTTCCAGCTGCATCTCGTCTTTGATGGTGCCGCGCACCTCGTCTTTGGGCACCGTGGCGTCGAGTCGAATCTCGGCCGCGATGTTGCGCAGCAGGCCCTCGCCCAGGATTCCGATGAAGGCCAAAGGCGTGCCCTCTATGAGGCGGTAGAGCGCTTGGCGCATGTCGTAAAGATTCTGATCGTCCACAACCTCATCCAATTCCTGTAGCCAGGCGTGGACATTGCCGTACGAGAGCTTCGTGATGAGCTCCATCGCGCCTGCGGCGAGGACCTCCTTCTCGATGTGGGCGATGAGCTGCTCCTTCCTGGCGTACCACAGCTTGGCCGCCTCGAATTGACGCGATTGGGACAGCATTTCGCGCAGCATATCGATCGACAGCACATTACACGCGCTGCGTATCTGCGCGGGCTCCAAAATTTGCTTCGGCCCGGCTGCCATCATCTCGACCTGCTCTCTGTACCTTCGCCTACGTTTCGTGATCACAAAAGCCACTGGCAGTTTCGCGCCAAACCAGAAAAAGAAATCCTCAGGAAAATAAAATCGTAAAAATTATTTGTTTATTTGTGTATTTGTTTTATTATTATTTATTGGGTTAAGCAGCATGTCCGGGCAAGGAGGGTCGCTGAACCCCTTCGACGACGACGATGGCGATTCTACCACGGCGCCAGTGAGTGCAGCCGGCTGTCCTGCCAATCCGTTCGATGATGATGACTTGGAGTTCGCCGTGGTACCACCCGAGGTCCCCCTCCCTGAATCTCCCACCACTCGTCCTTCCTACTCCTCCTCTCATTCTGCTCCCAACCCCTTCGACGACGACGACGACGGCAGCAGCTCGCCCCCGCCGCGAGGTGCCTCCGGTGCTCCGAGCAAAATCAACCCTTCTTCTTCTTCTTCATCTTTCCACGCTCCCAATGGGAGAAAAACCTCTGCTCCCGCTGCACTGGCTTCGTCGTCTTCTTCTTCATCGCCACCGACATCTTCCTCCTCGTCGTCGTCCTCGGCTCCCAAGTCGGGAAGCCTGTCCTCGTTCTTCTCCGCGCTGAGCGCCAGGCGGCCCAGCAGCGGCAGCAGCGCCGCCGCGCCCACCGGCTCCGGCGGTGCTCCGCTTTCCGCTCCCGTGCCCCTGCGCAGCACCTCCGACTTCCTGCCTTCGTTCTCTTCCGCTCTCTCGTTGTCTTCTTCCCCCACCACCACCACAACCACGACCTCGACCGCTGCTGCCGCCGCCGCCGCCGCCGCCGGCAGCAATGGAAGTACCACGTCGATGCTTTCACGATCGTCTTCGTCGCTGTCGGTCTCTCCGTCGGCCCTCAACTTCTTTTCGTCATCGCCGCACGCGTCATCATTCTCCTCTCCGTCCTCCTACCAAGAGACGATGGAGGAAGAGGCCGAGGCCGAGGCCGAGGCAACAACACATGCCGATGACGGCGACAGTGATGAAGACGGCGAAGCTGATGAGGCGGAGGCCCGGTTCAACATAGTCGCACGACAGCGGTCTCCCCCATCTCCACAGACGCGTCGCGAGCAAGCGGCTGCGCAGGTTCGGGCCATCGTCAACCACGGGTTCGCACACACCTCGTCTACGTGCGCTGTCGTGTGTTTCGTGTTGGTCACCCAGCGTGCTGTTTGTTTGTTTGTTCATCAAACACGCAAAACAACAGTGAGTACAGCCTGCACTCCTTCCGATCGCTCGGTGACAAGAAGACATTGCTCGACGCGGCGTCTGCGTCCATGAACGGCAACGCGATGATGACCGTCATCCTCTTCCTGAAGGTGCGCACCTCCTAACGACTCGAGGGCTTCCCGTCGCTTGCTCTTCTGTATCGGACCTTTGGCAAAAAGCTGATGACCGGGACGTGCAGGACACCCTCAGTTCGAACAATTTCCGCGCATTGATCGCCGCCCACCGTGAGGCGTCCAACCTCTACTTGAGGTAAAACGCGCCGCCTTCTCTTGTCTCTGGCGGACGAACTGCGGGCAAGTGCGTGCGATGATGGTGCTCACACGCAGGCGACACGCAGGCATCTCCGAGACGAGGGAAACCACGTCGACCGCGTGCTGATGTACCACGCACAGGGCGACCACAGGCGAGAGGGCCTGGCCCGTCTGGCACTGTGCTATCAAGTGGCCGATGTACGCCGCAACTTTGTCCACCGTCGGTGTGTTGTCCGAGATGGCGCCACGGACTCTCACGGCGAACGTGTGACACCATCAATCCTCCGTGGCGGCAGGTGCCGAAGCGTTTGGCTGCGTTCCAGGACTGCCTGCAGTACTTCCAGCGGCTGCACTCCCGACTCTTCGAGTTCGAGAGCAAGCAGCTGGAAGACCAGATCAAGCTCCTCGAAATCCAAATCAACATGGAGGTAACGGCGTGCGTGTGCGTGTGTGGCGGCGTGTGCGTGTGTGGCGGCGTGTGCGGTTGCTCACATTTTATCGCGACGACGCAGAGGGTGGATGCCGCGCGTGCGGCCAAGGGCGAGCCGCTCTTCGTCTCGTTCCCCCGATCGCCGATTGTGTACAGCGGGCTGGGCGCCACGCTGTACTACTCGGTGTTCTACCACTCCTACGCGACGCAGGGCAAAGCCAAGGAGATCGCCTTCCTCCCGGCCAACATGCGCAAGACCTTCCGCATCGGCGAGAAGCGGTTCTTCTGGGTCAAGCTGCGCGCCCTGTGCTGCCAGAAGCAGTGGGCGGCCGTCAAGCAGCTCCCCACCACGGTCTGTACCGCCGACTTCCCTCCTCCCTCGTCTGCGCGGTCTGGGGGTGCTGACGTCAGCGCCCACTTCAACAGGCGCTCTTTTCGTCGAAGCCAACGTCACCAATAGGCTTCGGGCCATTTGTCGACGCGGTACATTGCGCCCAATCACTGCTTTTTACTTTATTTCTGGAAGTGCTGACCATGAAACGGACTGTATCTGTACAGATTCACACGTTCGGCGGTCCCACCATGCTGCTGCGCGAGTTCCTGGTGCTGATCAAGTCGCCGACGAAGCGCTACCGCGCGGCACTCCGCACCACACAATACGACATCGCTATCGATGTACGAGCAACACACGACGGTCACACGACACGCACTCGACACACGACACACCATTCTTCTCACGCGCGTGACCATCGGCATCTGTGTTGTTGGCCCACAGGCGCTGGTGGCGACCAGGGACGAAGAGGAGCTGCTTTGGCTGCTCAAGGAGATCAAGTGGAAACTGGGGCCGGTGGCCGATATCGAGTACCGAACGAAGATAGAGTCTGCGCTGACCTCGCTCCGCGCCCCGCCACCAGCCAAGCCGCACTGACCACCCCCAACCACGCCGAAAGAAGAACATCCATTTATTTATTTATTCACAAGACGCCTATACCAGCAACGACCGCTCGGCCTTGGCCGAAGCGCGAGACGAAGTGGAGGAGGAAGAGGCGGACGATGAAGATGAAGAGGAGAGGAGTGCGGGGATGAAGGAGGGCATGTGGAGGGCGTAGAAGGTCTTGGCCAGCGGCGGCAGGAAGTTGGGCGACGAGCCCAGAACTGAGGGCTCCTCCTTGCGCTGCAGGTACTGACCGAACTTGCCCAGCGCCACCTTCGTTGCTGCGCCCTTGGTCTGTTGGCCTGTGTGTCGTGCGCGTGCGCGGGTGAGCGCACGCAGTGGCGGCGTGCCCATCACGGGATTGGGGGCGTGGTACCGGCGCGCAGGACGCTCGTGAGAAACTGTGCGAGGGTGGTTTCGCTGTTGGTCCGATGGGAAGTGTGGCGCGAAAGCGCGGCCACCAGCGAGCACGTATCGAACAGGTCGGTCATTCCTTTCACCATGTGCGACGATTCTGTTTTCACACACACACACACACACACACTCGCGTGAGCGTTGTGCGTACGTATGGGCCTGCGGGGGTTGAAAGGTAGTACCTCTGCCCTCGCTCCACACTTGCTGCATGGCAAATTCGTCGCTGACGGACGCGTCGTCGAGAGCGGGCTTGATGGCCTTCAGCACCGAACCGACTGCGTCACGCAGAGGCTGTTGCTCCTCCAGAACCCCCAACACATCTTTGGCCAGCTGCTCCAGATCTGCAGCCGTCGACGCCCACGCACCAAACAAAAGAAGTACACTAAGCTCATGCAAGCCCAGTCAGAATTGATGGGCACAGCACCGTGGATCGTACCATCGACTTCGCGGAGCTGCACTGCGGTGAAGTAGAGCGGCCCATAAGGGTCGCCGTAGAAGGCGATGAACCGCTTGAGAAGTTCGACTGTTGAGTTGACGTACGGTCAGCGTTGGTTTCAGCTGAAGATCGTCAGGGCGGTGGCGCGGGTGGTACGCACAGGGAAACTGGAGGGCTTCGAGTGGTGTGCGGGTCGATTTGGCGGCCACGATGCGAAGGAGCGGCAGGACCGCATTGCTCACGGCGTCGCTGATGGCCTGCGCCAGACCGCCGACGGCGCTTCTCGAAGCGTCGTACGTGGCCGAGAGCAGACTCGAATAGCCCGGCGTCTCTTTGCCTGGTTGGTTCCCGCCCGCAGGGTTGGGAATGAATGAGTGTGGTGGGCATAGGATCACCACCACCACGTGAAGGAGTTGAGTTGATGTACCAGCGGGCCCCTGCACGCTGAACACGGTCCCAGTGAGAATCCACAATCGGTTGACGTCTTCGGCGAGCGAGTCGAGGAAGCCGGTGAAGGTCCGCAGCGAGGCGGCCTAGACGCCATAAGCGGGAAGACGGTGAGCGGGTTGTCACGCGGGTCCAGCGATTGTGCCACCGCTGTCGAGAGGAGGTGACACGCACAGCGGACGAGGTGGACGATAGTTCGTCCTTAATTTTGTTGGCCTTCTCAGTGAGCTGCTTCTTGACGACATTGTGCACCTGAGCAGAATAGACCGCAAACAGCTGGTCCACCAGTGTGTCCGGCGCTGCATCGGGCTGGTGTGCGATGTTAGTATCGGCACGCATGGAATTGAGCTCATGGGACAGCCAAACTGAGCCCGAGCAAAGCGGTACCTGCAGCGCCGCGATGAGCTTGTCGATGGTTCGTGCGAGGGAGAGCAGGAAGTGGGGAAAGTGGAAGAGGCCCTCGTCCGCCTCATTCTCCTCTGTCGTCAGCTCCACATCTGCCGTCGGGTCCTGTGAGAGCTTCGCTCTGGCCGCGTACTCGAACATGGGCTCCATATTGCCTGCGCACGCAGAGAGAAAGCGGTTTGTGTCCACCAGACTCGCTTGCGCACAAGGAGGCGGCCGAGGACCAGCGAACGCGTTACCTGCCCGAACGTCCATGTGACGGGACCAACAGGTCTTGCATCTGGCCGACAGCTCTTGGAGCAGTCCCATCCCGGCCTCGCCCACGGCATTTGGGGTCTCTGTGAGGAGTTGCAGTCAGTGGCGAATGCAAAGAGGTGGCTGGCCGTCGTCTCGCAAGGGTGCACGCCACGGATGTTACCCCGAGAACTGTACCTGGTGACGAGTGTGGTGGCTGCCCGGTGGTTGTGACGGTTCCCTGAGGCAGGATGAGCGGCGTAACGTCGAGGAGCGCATCTTTCACCGCGAGCGCATCGTCGGCCAGACTGTTGGACAGCCGCTCGCGCCATGCTGCCACCTGTGGCGTGGTGAGGGCGCCGAGTCATGTCAGCACCAAAAGCAGCGACACAGTCTTTTGGAGAAGAGGTACCCTGTGAATGAGCGTGCACTGGCGCTGGAGCCACGCACATCGTGCGCGCTGCTGTTCCAGACTCAGCGATTCCTGTGCGAGGGCGGCCCTGAGCGTAGCGGAATCGTGGTCATCGCCGCCCCAATGGGCAGTCCGTGCCAGCGTTATCAGAGTCGCTTTCACGGGTAATACCGCTGAGGCCAACCCCGCCACACACTCTGCACACCACCCACGTGAAAGGTAACAGGTGACATGCCTTATTTAATTGTTTAAAGCGCCTTCAACAAGTACCTTGTAATGCCGCAACATCAACGTTGAGCGCCATGGTGATCTTTTGCTTGTGTTTTGTAATTTATTTTCTTTTAACATTTCTCTTCTTCCGCAGATCCCAACATTTTTTTCTCTTTTTAGGTCCCAGCGGGCTCGATTTCTGTGGATGGGATGTCGACGCGATCGCATCACTATTCAAAGCGGGCTTGGCTCCGTTGGGCTGGTCCACGGGGGGTTGTCGGGTTGTGGTCGGGCGGACAGAACGTTCGGTGGAGTGCCTGAAGGTGAAGACTCTTCTCTCATCTTTCAGCATCTTCTTGGCCTTTGTTGTGGATTACGGAACACGCAGGGACGAAGACTCTTCCGAACCCGGGAAGGCAAACCGCTACTTAAGATAACGATCATATGGATTACTCCAATCCCCTTCGTGCCCCGCCGCAGTCGTCGCCCCGGCAGATGTACTCTTCATTTCAACCTTCGGCGGCCTTCATGCGACCCGAATCGCCCCAGCAGCAACACCAACACCAACATCAGCAATCGGCCGGAGCGAAGCAGCAGATGCTCAACATCAAGGCCTTCTACAACGAGGAGATCAGGCGCCTCGTCCTGCCCGAGCCATCGTGGGACCACCTCAAGCAGCGCCTGGCCGAGCTCTTCCATTTCCCGTCTACATCATCCTTCCAGGTGAAGTGGAAAGATGACGAGGACGATTACATCACCCTCGACAGCGATGAGGAGCTCGCGCAGGCCCTGCGATACACCGATCCGCAGCAGCTTCTCCGCCTCTTCATCTTCAGCCACGCGACCGCCGCAACTCCCATGGCTCGCGGCTCGATGCCGGCCCAGGGTCCCTTCACGTCGTTCTTCACCCATTCTACGCCCTACGCCTCCTTCTCTGCCGCTCCGATGGCGGGATCGATTCCGCCTCCATCGAGCTTCGTCCCCTACCAGCCGCGCGGCCTGCCTCTCGCCTCGTCGGTGGTTCAGCTCCAGCAAGCCGCCACGACCGACGCCAAGGCCGCGTCGGCCCCGGGTGCCGTCGCCAACGTCAGCGGGGGCGCCCCCGCCCCCTCATCAGCGCCCATCGCTACCGGTGGAGTCCCGACTCCCGTACCAGTGGTAGCGCCCGGGTTGCTGGTGGGTAGTCCCACCCTTGCGGCCGCGGGCTCCCTGTTTGCCTCTAAGCGTGAGTTCAAGGAGCAGTGGAAGCAGGAGAAGCGCGCGCTCAAGGAGCAGAAATACCTCTGCGGGAACAAGGAGGAGTGGAAGACGCTCAAGAAGGAGCAGAAGAAGGCGCTCAAGCACAAGAAGGACCTGGTCAAGACGAGCCACAAGCTCATGCGGATGGAGCGCGTCTTCGACCCCCAGGATCCCAAGGACCACAAGAAGCTCTACAAGCTCCAGCAGAAGCAGTACAAGACCACCGCTCGCGCCCTCTATGCTCGCTTCGTCAAGCACGTCTCCATTCCCGGTAAGCACACCACACCACACCACACCACACCACACCACACCACACCACACCACACCACACCACACCACACCACAGACGTCTCCTCCATTTCATCCGTTCCTTCTCGTACGATTAGTCCAGTACTCACCATCGTATTGGGTGAACCCACAATGCAGACGGAACCGAGATGGCGCCCGACACGCCCTTCACCAAGACGTGGCGCTTCCGCAACGAAGGCACGATGCCGTGGCCGCAGGAGGTGACGCTCATGTTCATCTCCAAGATCAACGGCGACCAGATGGGCGCGCCCGAGTTCGTGCCGGTCAACACGGTCGTCATGCCCGGCGAGGAGGTCGACGTGAGCGTCCACATGGTGTCGCCCAGCCGCGCGGGCCACTACCAGGCCTACTTCCGCCTCTGCTACGGACCCAAGAAGTTTGGTCAGCGCGTGTGGATCAAGATCAACGTCGCGTGCACCTCCGAGGCCGAGGCCGAGGCCGAGAACGACGACGAGCAAGTCAAGAGCGTCAAGGAGATCGACTCCCTCGTGGACGACAACTACTCCAACGACACTCCCGTGCCCGCGCCGTCGTTCATCGAGGGCGTCAACGACGACCTCGCTGTCGCCGCCGCCGCCGCCGCCGCCGTCGCCCCCGTTGCCGGAGCTCCGGACCAGGCCCTGCTGCAGAAGCTGAGCGATCTGGGCTTCACCGACCGCGACCACAACGCGAGCCTGCTGGCCAAGCACAACGGCGACATCGACATCGTCGTCGACCAGCTCCTGGTCCAGGAACAACACCAACAGCAGCAATAGTCAGCCGACCCCGGCCACCACGCGGATCCACGCACCGCGATTTTTTTCTTTTGTTTTTGAACGCCGCCCTTGTTCTTGTTCTTCCTCCTGATGTTACACTCCTGGCATCAGCTCTTTGAACACGAACAACCTCGTTTCGTGTCCTTCTCTTCGTCCTGAACTAAATTCGAAAAGCAAAAAGAATAAAATAAAGTGAAATAGAAATACAGAAAAATAGAAAGAAGATGAGGATGGCGACGTTCTTCTCGGCCGGCTTCGGGCAGTACCTGGAGTCGGGCGAGTTCGGGGACGTGGCGCTGGTGGCAGCCGAGGGCGGAGAGCGTTTCGTGGCGCACCGCCTGGTGCTGGCCTACTCGTCCGCCCACTTTGCGCGTCTGCTCCTCCCCCAGCCCCCGTCCCCCTCTGCCTCCGCACCCCACTCCAGCTGCCCCTCCTCCCCCTCTGTCTCCTCCCCCTCCTCGTCGCGTGCCCCGAGCTCCAGCCGCTGCGGGTCTCCGCTCGCCTCGCCCACCTCACCGCCTGCGCGGGCCGCGAACCGGTCCGTCAGCAGCGACGGCGCACTGCTGGGCGGCTCCTCGGCTGCTCTGGTGGACGGCGACGACATCAACTGGCCCAAGGCCACGAAGAAGAAGAAAAAGAAGAAGAAGGACAAGGACAAGGAGAAGGAGAAGAGGAAGGAGCAGAGGAGAGCGAAGAAGGGTAAGGAGCGGGCTCTTTCCAGCGGCAACGACAGCACAGAGGGGAGCACACGCGACAGCGGCTCCAGCCTGACCGTGGCCGTCGCTGCTCCTACAGTCCCCGTCGCGACCACATCTGGCGGCCACAAGGTGGTGGGCGAGGGCGCGGCCGACAAGGGAAGCGGCACCGCGAGCGGCGAGACAGCAGCGGAAGGAGGCGCTGCACAGCCACAGATCCCCGCGCCGCCACCGCCGCCCGTGCGGCTCGCGCGCCGCGCGACGGGAGGCTCGACCAGCAGCGGCAGCGTGGTGCTCCAGCGGCCCTCCGCCCAGACTCTCAAGCGCTCCAATGACACCCATCACCACCATCACCACTCCCACCACGCCAACGGCATCGCCATCTCGCGCTCGCTCTCCGGCAGCTCCAACTTCTTCGGCAGCGTGCGCCGGGGAGGAGGCGGCGGCGGCGGCATGAAGACGGCCAGTGGGAGCGTGATGACCCTCTCCTCCTTCGGGACCCCGCGCTCGTATTCGTCGTCGCTGAGCGGCGAGGGAGCCGCGCTGGCCGGGTCAGACTTGACCACGCACACCATGGACGAGGTCATCTACCCATCATCATCATCAACGCCGCCCGGCACCGCGGGCCACGAGCGACAGGCCGCTGTTGCCGACGAGCTCCCGGTGATCCAGCTCGACTTCCCGGATCCCAACCGCATCTTCCCCGCCGTGCTGCGGTTCATCTACGAGGTGCGTGGTAGTAATCAATCAATCATACACGCATGGGCCGGTCCGCTCGAGGCGCGGCTTTGAGTAACTCACTCTTGGCGCATGACAGGGCGTGATCGAGATTCTACCGGAGAATGCCATTCCGCTGCTCGCCATGGCGGACCACTACTGTATAGAGGTAAAGCAGTCGCGTGCACCGTGAGACGCACGGTGGTGACGCTGCGAGCGGTAAACTGATTATTGATTCCGTTTCCAGATTTTGAAGAAGCTGTGCAGCGACTACGTCGTTGCCAATATCGACCGAGAGAACGCGCTCTGGATGCTCGAAAGAGTGCGCCCCCCCCCCCAAAGCCTACCCCAACTCCGTCCAACTCTCTCTAACCACGCGCGGGCGACGCTCCAGGCGATGCTGTACAATGCCGAAGAGATCATCACTACGTGTGTCAACGTGATCGCGCGGAACTTCTCGTACATCTACAACGCCAACTACAACATCTTGCCCTATCGGTACGTGGTGTCTTTGGGTCTGTCGTCTTCATTCTGTGTTCTCTCTGGTGACGTAACGTAATTGGCACTGGGCTGATTGACGCATGCATGCATGTTTGGTCGGACGAGGGCAGGTTGCTCGTGAGCATACTGGAGCATCCGTGCCTCGCGGTTAAAGCGTTGGGAGAGTGGCCGCTGTTCCAAATCGTGTGGGACTACATCAAGGAGCACAAGGACCTGACGTCGCAGGTGAGCGCCGACAGACGTCTGTGGGTTGAGCTGTGCAGCGGCATAGCCCACGCACTAACCGTCAGTGATGCATCACCGTGTCCAGGAGCAATACCGTCTTTTTGGCACGGTCCGCTATCGCTGGATGACGACCGACGAACTCGCTCAGACGCAGGCAGCCAACATCGTGCCCTCGGATTTCATAATCGAGGTGAGCGCCTCGAGTTCTAGTTGGCCCTGCCAATGGTACTGACGGGCTCTTTCTCTCTGGATCTCTCTCTGTACGCGCACAGGCGCTGATGGCCCGCCTGAAGGAGGCCGAGCGGGACAAAGCCGAGGAAGTGGGAATGTGTGCCGAGCAGGACCCCACATCCCGTCGGTACGCCGGCCTCCTTCATGCGCTTCTATCTCCCTGTCATTGCGTTGAGTTGATGTATCGATCGATAGGTTGCTGCCTCGACCTTCGTTCGGCATCCTGTTCGACTACGCCTACGACTACGACCAGAAGGGGATCATCTTCTGGATCGCCACCAACCGAGGCCGGGGTTAGCGCCTTCTCCGCTATCCGCTGGTGCGCGGGAAAGAGGGTCTCAGCCGCTCACCACCCTTGCCCTCCCCCCACCCAATGTTCGTCCAGAGCCATGGACGAACCCACACTCCGCGGGCCGGCTGCGGGTAACTGCGTCCAGTATAGAGAAGGGAGACCCGGTCAAGCTCGTATCCAAGAAGCCGTCCGAACTATGGAGTGGTGCGTGAGCCACAGTCGTCGTCGCTAAATCCGACCCTTCACGCTCCTCCTCGTCTAACTTTGTGTCGCTCTCGTGTACAGGCGACGTACCGGCGTCGTGGTTCGCCATCGACCTGGGACCCAGCCGGTAAGCGCCTATATCATGTTTCTTTTGCTTTTACTTTTGTTGGCGTTGTTGCGTGTCTCATACGGCCTCACGGCAACTTGAACGGATGACAGCACACTCGTGCCCAACTACTACACTCTACGGCACGGCGGCAACTACAAGGCCGACAGCTTGCGCACATGGGATCTACAAGGTGAGAGCGAGTCACTCAGTGTAGCGAATCTGCAATCGGTAGCCACGCTCACTACAACGACGCCCGTGTGTCCGTAAGCGCAGGATCGAGCGACGGTAAGACCTGGATCGTGCTCAAGCGACACACCAACGACACTTCGCTCTCCGGGCCGTTCGCCACCCACTCGTGGCCCATTCCCTCGGTCACCGAAGCCTACCGACACTTCAGGTGAGTCCTCCACACATCCGAACTGCCGGCATCGCCCCTGTTCAGCTCACTCACCACCATCACCGTTATGATCACCATCACGATCACAGAATACTGCAAACGGGCCACAACTCGTCCAACCACAACTTCTTGGTCCTCTCCGGGGTCGAGTTCTATGGTGAGCTGTACGAGTCGTGATTTTACATCCACATCGTTCTGGAGAAGAGTGTGGGCGTGCAGTCAAGGCTCTTCTGCGCACACCTTGCACGTTGGGGGCTCACGGTACGCTCTTCGACAAGAGTGGGCAATGGTTGCGCCAACGTGTCTCCGTCGTCAGGGAAGTCTTCTTCTCCGACAACCACCTTGGTCTGGGTGTCATTCGCCGTTTTCTTCGTCACTTCGTCACTGCCCAACCCAGCCACGCACTCGCTTGCATCTGCAGAAGAGAACACATCAAACATCGTTGAGACTAGAGGATGAAGCAGAGTTTCGTGGTCTTCATCTTGTTCGGCCTGTGCATCGGTTCGCTGCTGACGATCAGCGTGACGGGCGAGACCACGAGCGACGTGGTGGTGCTCGATGACGACAACTTCGATGAGCACACTGCCAGCGGCGACTGGTTCCTTGAGTTCTACGCTCCCTGGTTCGTGCCAACCCTCCATTCCCTCCTACTTGTTCGTAATTTCCCTTGATCCGATGCATTTCCCACTGCGCTGGCACGAGCGGCCCAACACTGCCACATCCACACAACGAGTCGATTCGTTCGCACTCCAGAATCAATTTGTCTCGATTAATAATCAAAACCCATTCGTTGACCGTGGGCAACTCAAGGTGTGGGCACTGCAAGAACCTGGCGCCAGTGTGGGAAGACCTGGCAACGCAGGGCAAGGCCAAGGGCCTGCGCGTCGGCAAGGTCGACTGCACCCAGAACAAGGAGATCGGTTCGCGCTTCGGGGTCAAGGGTTACCCCACCATCAAGCTGTACGTGCGCCACACATCCACTTGTCTTCCTCCTCCTCTCACCACCAACCTCACCGCAACCGCAACCGCAACCGCAACGCCGACGCCCCGTGCAGTCTGAAGGACAACCAGCTGTACGCCTACAAGGGCGCGCGCAAGGTGGATGACTTCCTCCAGTTCGCCGAGAGCGGCTACAAGGCCGTCGACCCCGTCCCCGTCCCCGCTCCCGCCGTCGTTGTCGAAGAGGTACGTGGTGGCTACTCTTCGTCGGGGCTTAGCTGAGCTGAGATCAGAAGGTGGCGAAGGTTCCTCGCACACAAACTCATACAAAAATTGGTTTGTCGCGCGCGCAGGCCGAAGACGTCGAGGGCCAGACCGCCGGTGGAGCGGGCGAGGTGCAGATCCTCACCGCCGAGAACTTCACCCTCGCCACCAACGGCGGGAAGTGGTTCGTCAAGTTCTACGCCCCGTGGTGCGGACACTGCAAGGTTCGTTCGTCGTTTTCTCTCTTTCCAGCCTTCTCTCTTCGTCATGGCCTTTGTAGTTGACACTCCTCCCTCTTTCCGTGTGTCGTTGTCGTCTTCGTTGTCGTCTTCTTATTTTCGGCGATACACCACAGAACCTGGCTCCCACGTGGGAGAAGGCCGCCTCGGAGCTCAAGGGCAAGGTCAACATCGCCAAGGTGGACTGCACGACCGACGGTTTCGTGTGCCAGCTGTTCGGCGTCAGGGGCTACCCGACCCTCAAGTTGTACGTAGCTCCCTCTTCTCTCACCTGTCGGCTCTGATGCCGCCCGGAGTGAGGGGACTTTGGTCTTACCTCTTCGTTATCTCTCTCCCCTCTCGTGTGCACGTCGAACGCACAGCTTCAAGGGCGACGGCCTCGTGAGGGACTACTCTGGCGTTCGCGAGGTGTCTGACTTCTCCGACTTTGCCAAGAAGGGCTACAAGCAGGCCACCGCCCAGGACTACCCGCTCCCCTCGTTCTTGATGTACCGCATCTCTTCTCCCCGCCTTCCTTTTTGTGGTCTCACCGACATCGCCACACCCATTAGGTCGCCCGTCGTCTTCAAGTTCTACCAGGCCTGCGAGCCCATTGCCGTACGCGACCTTTCCTCGCGCGTTCCAACCCAACCGTTTTGAAGTCATTTCTCACCGGTGGCGCGTTCTTTGGTGCACCAGGCCTGGATCAACGCGAACGTGGGCTATTCCTTCGCCATCATCGCCGCTCTCTCGTTCATCTTCGGCCTCCTCGTCGGCCGTCTCTCCGCCGGCTCGGAGATCCGCTACGTGATCCCCAAGGAGCTCGGCCCGCAGGTACACCTCTCCCCTCTCCCTCTTCTCCACGTCAGCTGTGCTGACATCGCGACTCATGTGTGGCGTCAATTCAAGTGGAACGAGCTTCTGGCCAAGAAGAAGGAGCTCGAGGAGAAGAAGAAGGCCAGGCGCGAGAAGAGGGAACAGAGGAAGGGTGGAGAGAAGATCACCGGCGAGAAAAAGTCGCAGGACGCCACCACCCCTTCCGTACGCCTCCCCCCTCTTTCCGCTGCGTGTGCGGTGGTGCGTGCTTGCGTGCGTGCGTGAGCTTTGTGCGGCTCTTCGCCTTACGCTCCGTGCGGTGACAGACCCCCAACGAGACGGCCACCTCGAGCCCACGGAGGAAGAGGAGCAAGCCCAAGAAGCCGGAGAACTAAGTCTTTGGCCCCAAGGGACGACATGCTCAACCCACGCCACCCTATTTATCACCCCCTTCTCTATTACTGTGTGCTCGGTGCCGCCTGCAACGCCAAATAAAATGGAAAAAAAGCAAAAAGAAACAAAGAATTAAAAAACAAAGATGGAAAGGCAAACAGCGGACGGTCTGGAGGGGCTGTCGGTGCGGGAGCTCAAGACGCTGCTGGATGAGCGCAGGGTGGACTACCGCGACTGCGTGGAGAAGCGGGACCTCATACGGCGAGCGCGCGAAACTGGCCACCTCCCCCGACGCACCACAATCGCCTCCCTCGCGTGCATCGTCTTCGACTCCACCTCCACCTCTTCTTCGCCTGCACCACCCGAGTGGGTGGTCATCATCTTGCACGTACGTGGCATCTCACGCAATTATTTGATTAAAATCATTCAGAGTTTATTTATAAAAAAGAATAATAAATATTGTTGTGCAGGGCTATGGCGCGAACAGGGAGGACCTGGTGCCGCTGGGCCAGGCCGCTGCCCAGCAGATGTCGGCGGCCACGACCGATGCCGCCTCGGGACCCCGCGTGCGCTTCATTCATCCCAACGCACCGCTGGCCATGACCACCGAAGGCGGCGCCTGTGCGTGCCCTCTCCACACACACACACACACACACACAACACACGCACAACGCGGCTGTGGCTAACCGGTCCATGCGCGCACAGCACCGGGATCGGGCCGGATGTGGTGGCCCATTGATTTGAACGCCATGCTGCTCTCGTTCCTCTCCGGTCAGGTCACCAAGTCTGTCCCTCCGGTACCACGCACACTCCCTCCCCTCCTCCCCTTTGCCGTCTATGGTCCACCGCCACCGCCCAGCGCGCTAACCAGTGGTGTCTCGCGATGGGTGCACCGGTGGCGCAGGGGCTTGATGAAGCGCGTAAGGCGGTGCTGGCAATGGTGGAACAGGTACAGCGCGACACGGGCCTCCCGCTCTCGCGATTCATCCTCGCCGGCTTCTCCCAGGGCGCGATGCTCGCCACAGACGTGGCGCTCCACCTCCCCGAGTCCCCCGCCGCCCTGTGCATTTTCTCCGTACGCGAGCCATTCTTCTTAGCCTTCGACACACGACACACGACCCACGACCCACGAAACACGACACACGACACACTAACGTCGTGTTGCAATGCAGGGCGTGTTGATCTGTGAAGATGTGTGGAAGCCGTTGATGGCCAAGCGCCAGGGCATGAAGGCACGTCTCTCCAACGTTGGGAGTACTACTCCAGCTATTGTGTGTGTGTGTGGTGTGTGTGTGTGTGTGGTGTGTGCGCGCGCGCGCGTGCGTGTGTGTGTGTGTGTGGCCTTATTAACTCAGCGACAACGACAACAACGACAACAGGTGCTCCAATCGCACGGCACGCAGGATCCGCTTCTGCCGCAGGCGCTCGGCGTGCTACTCAAGAACGGCCTGGAGGCCGCGGGCGTGCCGGTGGAGTTCATCTCCTTCGGGGGAGGCCACACCCTGCCCCCATCCGCGCTCGAGGCCTTCGTGCGCCTCCTCCTCGCCAACCACCACGCCCTCCACCCCAACCAGCAATAGCGCAAGCACTCGCCTGGGTTGGTGGTGCCACGTCAGTATGAAAGAAAAAAAGAGAAAAGGCGAGGAAAAAGCTCTTCTCGGGTTCGGGCCAATGCGTTGACTGAAAGGTTGGGCAAAGGCAACCCCCCCCCCTGAAGTTCAGTGCAAGCGCCGCCAGGCCGAAGAAGAAAAGGCGCTGACCTGAGTAGTACACTACACCACCAAACAGCAGCAACAACACACAGACATCAACAGCAACACACAACATGCAACAGCAAGACAACAGCACTACCACTAGTGGCCAAGCCCTGAGCCTGGTCTGCACGCCAGAACTGCAGGGGGTGGGCGCGGCCGAGCAGCGGTCGTCGTTCTACGTCATGGCCTCCATCACCGCGCCCGAGTTCCGGTCGGAGAAGCGCGCCCCGGTGGACATGATCTGCGTCATCGACCGCAGCGGCTCCATGTCGGGCGACCGCATCAACATGGCCAAGTCCACCGTCGAGTTCGTCGTAGCGAACCTCCAGCAAGACGATCGGCTGGGCATCGTCACCTACGACGACAGCGTCGCCAACCACTTCCCCCTCAGGCCCATGACCACCCACGGCAAGGAGGCCGCCCTGGCCGCCATCAAGTCCATCGCCGTGGGCGGCTCGACCAACCTGTGCGGCGGCCTGGTCGAGGGCGTCAACCAGATGCGCGGCCGCGAGGCCGGGGCCCAGAAGAACCAGGTGGCGTCGGTCCTGCTCTTCACCGACGGCCAGGCCAACGCGGGCTACACCCAGGCCGAGGACATCATCAAGGCCACCATCAACGCCGACCACGCCAGCGCCAGCGCTGGCGGCGGCGGCAGCTATGGCGGCGGTTGGGGCTCGCCACCCAGGCGGCAGCAGCAGCAGCAGCAGCAGCAGCGGTTCACCAACGCCTACGCCGTGCCCCAGCAGCAGCAGCAGCAGCTGCCCATCAGCTACGGCGTGCCCCAGCAGCAGTCGCCCCAGCCCATCAGCTACGGCATTCCCCAACAGCAACAGCTGCCGGTGGCGCTGCAGCCGGTGGCCCAGGCCCAGAACCCGACGGACTTCAGCGGCGCCGAGACGGAGGAAACTGAGGAGGAGAAGAAGAAGAAGGTGTGCGAGGACTTGCCGCTGCCGTGCACGATCAACACGTTCGGGTTCGGAGCCGACCACGACGCGACGCTGCTGAAGAAGATCGCGGACCACGGCCAGGGCATCTACTACTACATCGACTCGACCAAGGCCATCGCCGAGGCCTTTGCCGACTGCCTGGGCGGCCTCCTGAGCGTCGTGGCCCAGGACATCCGCGTGAGCTTCGAGGCCCCGGCCAGCGGCCAGGCGGTGCGAATCAACCGCGTGCTCACCAAGTTCCGCTCGACCGAGCTCGAGGCCGGCCGCGCCTACGAGCTGGTCCTGGGCGACATCCAGAGCGAGGAGCGACGCGACATCCTGGTGGAGGTCTCGATCGCGAACACGACCGACGTCGACGCGGTGCTGCCGGTGCTGAAGGCGACGGTGACGTACACGAACGTGATCACGGGCCAGCAGGGCGCGAGGGCCGAGACGACGGCGACGGTGCGCCGGCCGGCGCTGCCCACGGGCGAGACGCGGGACTACGCGGTCGATCGCCAGCTCAACCGGCTGCTGGCGGCCGAGGCCATGGAGCAGGCCAACGAGGCCGCGCGCGACGGGCAGATGGAGCGGGCGCGCGAGATCATCAAGCGGGCGAGCGGGCGCATCGCCGAGTCGGTGTCGCGCGACGACGAGTTCTGCAAGAGCCTGGTGAGCGATCTGGAGCGGTGCGAGGGCGGCCTGCAGTCGCAGTCGTCGTGGGCGGCCGACGGCAGCAAGATGCTGACGAACCAGATGCAGGCCCACTACGTCCAGCGCAGCACCAACGTGGGCTGGGCCGGCCAGGCCAGCTACCAGACCTCGACCCGCGACCGCATGCAGTGCAACTTCAAGAGCTCGTAAAGACGCCAACATCAACATCAACATCAAGAGAAGAGGGAACGGGAGCGCCAAAGCGATGCATCGGCCGTGGGTAGAGTGTAACATTTTGTTTGGAGTGTAGCGAGTTCAGAATACATCATCGATATGTCGTTTTTTTGTTTTTAAGAATCGCGACAGCAGCTCTGTCCGGCTCAGTGCTTGACCATGCGGGTGTGCTCGTCCGCGCTGACGTCGCTGTCGCTGTCGTCGCCGTCGGCGCGCTCGGCGTCAGTCAGCTCGGCCTCGCTGAAGGACTCCCCTCGGGTGGCGTAGGCGGTGGCGCGCCTAAGGTGCAGGATCTCCGCTTCGGTCAGATGGTCCCCGTGCGCCGCCAAGTACACCCACTCCTGCACCACACCACCAAGCCGTCAGTCACTCACAGAGCACACGACACGACACGCACGACACACAACACAACACGACATGCATGCCTGCGCGGACCTTCTTCCATTGATGGAGGGTGGAGAGCTTGGAGAGGTCCTTCCGCGTGATCACGCCCTGCACCACGTTCCAAAAGTCCACTGGGAACGAAGAAGGACCGCAATGTCACCAATGTTGGTGATGTGGGGGGGGGGTGAGTGCGGAGGCGCATACCGACGACGATGTGGCGGAGGCCCAGGGTGCGGAAGGCGCGATAGGCGCGGGTGAGCGGGCACGTTTCGATCACCTTGACCGGGTTGAGGTTCATGTCTGAACCAGGCGCGTGGTGATCGGGGTGAGTGGCCAGCCTGCGCATCAGCAACGGAGAAAAGACGTTGGCGACGACGACGTACATGGCTTGAAGTAGAGGTACATGTCCTCCTCCCGGTGGGTCAGCGCCATCTTGGTGATGTCGTAGAACTTGGGGTAGGCGTTGACGAACGCCGAGCGCGGGAGGATGGAAGAGGGCGACACCTCGCGACCCAACTCATCGCCCTGTTCGTTCGTGGTGGAATGCAGTGAATTAGTGAATAAATTTAGCATTCAAAGGAATGGAGAGAAAGAAAACGAATAAAATAGGGAAGAATGCCACGCACGCTGTAGAATGCGCGGTGGTGGAGCAGAACGGAGATCTGGGAGCGAAGGATGGTCCCCACGAGCTGGCCCTTGGAGTTGACGATCGGGAAGCCGTTGTGCGTCACCTCGCCCAGCGTCTGTCATATCAGGAAACGTGTAAGTTGTCCACGCACACACACAAACACGCACGCACGCACACGCACACACACGCACACACACACACAGGAAGAGAATGGGGTTGACCTGGAACACGTCGCCAACGCGCTCGGTGAGGAAGAAGCACACGGGCGGCTTGTTCATCACGTCCTTGGCCTTGAGGGTGTACATGTCGTGCGGCGGCTGCCAGTCGAGGATCGGCGCCTTGAGCACGCTGAAAAATTGATTGATTGGTTTTGGAGAATGTGTGAGCCGCGAGAGCGACAACCACGACCCGACCGACATGAAGAACGGGAGGAAAGGTGGTGGGTGGCGCACCGGTTGTAGTTGGTGAAGATGCCGCCCACGAAGAGGCCGGCAACCCATCGCGCGATCAGCACCACCAACATGACCGGCAGAGCAAAATAGGCGTCTGCGTGTGTGTGGGGAAAAAAAAAGAACGAAACGAACCATGGTTGGAATGTGCGACGGCCAAGCCAACTCGCATGCGCAAATGGGGGGGGGACTACGTACAGTCAGTCGCCTCGACCAGCAAGACCGTGAGCGAACTGCAGTTAGGGGGGGGGGGAGAGAGAAGCGCGTTGGCTCGGAACTAAACCGTCAGTGGTTAGGAGAAGTGTGTGGCGGCGTACATGGTGAGACGGGTGACGCCGCCGGTCACGGCCGCGGCACCCAGGATGGTGTAGGTGTTGATGTTGATGTCCAACCACGGCATGCCGTGGTCCAGCCCCATGCCAAGCGCACGCCTAGTCTCCCACACCCACATTCAGCCATAGCAAACGACACACGGCACACACGACACGACACACGACACACGACACGCGCGACTTGAAGTACCCGAGAGCACCGCCGATGATGAAGCACGGGATGAAGAGGCCGGTGGGGAGCGCGGCGCCGAAGCTCCAGCAGGCGAGGAGCGTGTAGACTGCGGCGATGATCAGCAGCGGACCCACGTCCCAGTCGACGACCTCGGCCGTCATCGCCCGCAGGGCGTCGATCTCGTTCTCGAAGAACAGGGTCCCGAGCTGGCTGTACTCGCCCTGTTTGCAGAAGACGCTGGTGTAGCGGATGTGCAGTTCGTTGAACTCCTCCACGGCCTCGTAGGAAATGGGCCTGTGGCAAGAAAAGACAAGGAATGCGAGTGAGCTGGAGTGCTGATGAAGCGGACGAGGAGGAGAATGAAGGAAGTTGTGGCGTACTGGCAGCTGTTGTAGAGGTAGGGCACCACGAAGATCACGATCGAGGTCACCAGACCGACAATACAGCCCTGGCCATTTTTGGGGGGGAAAGCGTTTGAGCGACTCGGTCGAGGCGAGGAGAGGTGGTTGTGGCGGACGTACTTCGAGCATCTTCAGGCTCGGCCGGCGGAGCTTGTTGACGCGGAACCACATGAGACCCAGGTTGAGCGTGTTGAAGAACGCGCCCACCAATCCGCCTGGTCACCAATCCCCCAATCACGTGAGCGCTATTACTATTCCAGCCAACCAAAATCAACACACAGCTGCATGCGCCTACCGATGATGCCCAGGAGGATGTAGAACGGGAAGTGGAAGATCTTGAACGGGAACTCGGCCACGCCCACGCTGTGTCCGAAATCAAAGAGCCCTGTAGCCAAGCTTTAACCACCGACCGACCGACCGCCGCTGCAGAAGGGCACCGCGCGGAGGTCGGGGGGAGGGAGGAGGGGGGGGGGCACATACCGGTGCGGGACCAGTGGCCCCAGCGCTCGAAGACGAACCCATTGTTGAGGAAGTTGAAAACCGTAAGAGCCGCGCAACAGCTGAAGAACACCATCGCCTGCGCCGGTGATGTTGGCGTTTAGGACCAAACAAGAAGTAGTTTTTGGACGGGGAGCAGGGCACGATGTACCGATAGCGGGCCAGTCCAGAACGATGAGCCCTGCTCCACGGAGTAGAGCATCCCCCCTATGGGAGATCCAAATATGCTCGCAAAGCCTGCCCATCACAAGCAAGCAATCAATTGAAGCACGCACGGCACCACGATGGTAGAGCAAGCACGAAGCAAAGAAGAAGATGATGATGATGATGAGGAAGAAGAAGAAGAAGCTGGTAAGTGGAGGTTGTACCTGCGGACACGCCGGCCGAGACGAAGTTGCGCTTTTCGTTGTCGGTTCGGAATGTCTTGAGGCCGTAGGGTGCCAGGCGCTCGAAGAGCGATAGCTTTCCCTGGGACAGCGTGGCTCCGATGGAGCCTCCCAGTTGGAGGGACGGCCCGGCAATGTCGCCCACGATGTGGCCCCACTCGGCCAACAGCAGAGCCAGGCACTGCGGTGTGACGTGTTGGTGGCGACATAGGCACCATCAGTATTGATGGTAATGGGGGAGGGTCCTGCGATCGATCGACTGCACCTTGACGAAGAAGCTCGAGACTCGGAAGATGGAGGGCATCCTGATTCCGTTCAGAAAAGCTGCACAGTGCGCGCAGATGAGAATCGATCGGTGGGGCGCCACGACACATGAAACACCGAACACGCACGCACGCACGCACACGGCGCGTGCAGACGATACGACGCACGAGACGCATGGGCTACCTTGCAGTTCGGGCAAGCCCGAGGCTGCGAAGGGTAGGAAGTAGGCCACCAGGAACGAGGAGCAGGCAGTGAGGCCCGTGCTGATGCCGACGAATGTCAAGAACGGGTACCAGAAGCACGTGCCGCCCGGAGACCCGCCACACCCGGACAGGACTGAAACGGCGAAACACCACCGCACGACACGACACGACACGACACACACCGCTCGCGGTTAGGAACGCTCCGGGACTAAAGACGAGCGAGAGGCGTGGTGTTGAGTGTGTGTACGGTGCTCGAGAAGTTCGAGTTTGTAGCGAATGACGCGCCGCGAGCCCAGGAAGAGGAAGAAGATGAAAAAGCCGGTGAGCGCGCCGATCAGCGTGAGCACGACGATCGTTTGTAGCCACTTGCTCACTGCGAGCGCAAACCACAGGTCAGTTGTCTGTCCGCCCGCCAATGCAAAGAAAAAAGAAAAGAGGTCCGAACCGAGGTCGCGGCGAGTGAGCGAACGCTCGTAGCTCTGCTGCAGCTCATTGTCGATCGGACCGTAGTCCAAGCCCTGTACAGCACACGAGCCATAATTATGATTAAAATAAAAAGAATAAATTAAAGAAAAGATCAAAATAAATAATAGAGAATAAAAAGGGAATTACGACGGGCGTGAAGTGGCAGCGGAAGATGTACCTCGTATTTCTGTTCGGCATCGACGCGGCGGGTGAGGAGATCGGTGTTCTCCCTCACACTCTTCCGGAACCGACGCCGTGCCGCGCCCTCGAACACGCGCCTCTGCCAAAAGCCCAAACCAAAGCGTGAGACCGCCGGAGCGGGGGGGGGAATAGGACCTAAAACAACGAAAGAGGGGTGCGGGGGAGGCTTCGTACGAAGCCGAATGAGTCCGAAGCGGCCATGGATGGGACAAAGATGAAGAGGAAGGAGAAAGCGCAGAGCTCCCTCCTGGAGGATAAGCAGGGAAAAGGAGAACTAAAAGTCTTTGGCACCAGTTTGTGGCCTTTGGTGAAAACGACCTGCGCACGGGCCAACCGGCGAAAAAGAGCGATCGACGGTCGCAACACATCAGAGTTCATTGTGGGGGGCGTTGGAACAAGAGAGAGAAAGGTGGCTGACACTCAGGCGTGCGGGGTCGAAAGAAGGGACGATTCGATCGGCAGGCTGTCGTCCCTCGACCACTCGTTCCACGACCCGAAGTAGTTTGTGGCTGCGTTTGTGACGGGAGAGAGGTATTAAGTGTTAGTTTGCTGCGCTTCCCTTGTGTGTGGCAGTAGTAGTACCCTTGAAGCCCGCATGGCGAAGCTGCATCAGCGTGTTCGATGCGCGGGAGCCCTTGAAGCAGTACACAATCACGTCCTGCTCGGGCTTGATGCCCATGTCCTGCACACATACACCAGCCACCACACAACCCTCGTGTGAGACCCACCTCGATCGAGAGGCCATGGCTGTGGCAAGAACGCACCGTGAGCGTGGCCTTGACTTCGTCGACGGGCTTGGTGTAGGCCACTCCGTCCTTGCGGTCGTGTAGCTTGTACCACTCCAGCCACTTCGCACCGGGGAGGCGCCCCTTGCGCGGGCAGAAGTCCTTCCCTGTGCGGCACGATGGCTCCCGAGGTTAGGAGCAGGTGGTCGACACACGGCCAAGTTGACGCCAAAGCAATTGGGAGGCCCACCGTAGGGGGAAGAGCTGGTTCCGATCCACTCGTCCTGGTCGCGCACGTCAAGCAGCACCGCGTCCTTGCTCTTGTCCTTCAGGGCCTGAAGCACGTCGTCCTTCGTCGCCATCAGGCTGGCGTCGACTTGAGTCTGAAGATACACACAAGCCGCGCATGCATGAGACACCACCGCAAGATATGTCGAATATTTATGTGGGGTTACACTCACCTTGAGCTGAGCGGGCGTGACTTGCGGAGCCTGCTGCGAGAGCTCGCCTCCCGCGTTGCGCCACGCCGCAAGGCCACCCTGCAGCACCGAGACCTAAAAAAGAACGAAACGCGAAGTGCGACGAGAAGAGTCAGCGCAAAGTTCGTCCTTGAGGGGGGGGGTGAAGTGCGATACGTTGGGATGGCCGAGCCACTTGAGGAGGAAGTAGCCCCGACACGACTGGGCGAAGCCCGACGTGAGGCCCTCCTCGTAGATGACGACCCGCTCGTTGGCGGCGCCGGTGATACCGGCGCGGCGGCCGAAGAGGTCGCGGAAGGTGGCCTCGAGCGAGGCGAGGCCGGCCGGGTCGGAGGTGGCCAGGTGGGTGAAGCACTCCTCGATTCGCACGGCGCCGTCGAGGTGGCCCTTGTCGTAGGCCTCGGCGCCGCGGGTGTCGACCAGCACCACCCGCTCCTTGCTGTGGGCCTTGGGCTCCGCCAACACCCGACGCAGCTCGTCGACCGAGACCCACGGCGTGGTGCGGGTGTGAGACGACATCAGCCTCTGCGCACCCCACGACGACGCGGTGGCGGTGGTCGCTCGCTGCCCCAACGCTCCAGCTAGTACCGACCCAGTTCCTCTCCGCCACATCTTGTTCTTCTTCTGAAGTCTTTGCTGCCCCACCATCGCACACAATGTCCCGGTTCAGTTATATCCATCAACCAATCCGACACGTGTGGCAGGCCGAATGGTGTGCTGACGTGGAAACTGCAACTTCCCCCCCCAGAAAAAACTTCCCCCGCGGTATTCGCTCAGGCCGCACAATATTATTATTTTTTAAAAGATATTAATGCAGCAAACTTTGGTGATGTCCACAGTTGGCTTGTTCGTCGAAGCTGGTGGTGTTGTAAAGCACGGAGAAAGAAGAGATGTAGGGCAGATCCCCATGTCTGGTGCCCGTGAAGGTGAACCAGCCAGCGACCTCCACCTGCACCAAACACTTGCCCACGGTCGTGGATAGTGCCTTGAGCACTGCCGCCGTGAAACCGTTCACGATTATGGGCGATACTGCCGTCAACCGAACGGGACCGAACTGACTGAACACGCCCTCGTAGAGCTTGCGGATGTTTTGACGGCCGACGACGGTCGTGCCGGTGGCTCCGGCCGGAATGGTGGCGCTTCCGTTGTCGGCAAACAGCGAGGCAGCGAGCGTGGCGTTCTTGGTGTTTTGGGAATGCGCGTATTCGTCGATGGTGTGGATGATGCCCTCGACCGTGAACGCCTCCGCCGAGAAGGAGTTGGTGTTGGTCAGCAACAGCAGCGCCAACGACACGTACGACAGTAGTCCGATTTGCATCTTGTTGTTGCGTGGTTGTGAAGCCAGCCCTAAATAATCTATTTTATACCTACAATATCGCCGCCATCAGCGCGGAAGACAGTCGCCGCTATGAGATAGACACTATCGCCGCGAAGAAGACATTGCGATCGAATAGGGGGCCAGAAATGAAAACTTTGACGGCCATAACTAAGATTCCGATCCAGGAAAGGTGGAGCACGTTTCGTTTGAAATACATAAAACAATTTCTATCTAATTAAAAACAGTTAATAAAAAACACAGTCACCAGCATGGGGTTGATGTCATTGGGCAGAGAGGTGACATTGAGCACCTCAGGGGCTGTGTTGTGGCCTGTGTCAATGCTGCTGCTGATCTGTTGATCTACAGATCTTCCATTGTCACCCAGCTGATTCCACAGGGAGATGAGATGGCCCTGCTTCAGTATGCATTCTGACTTCTTCCTCTTCTTCTGCTCTGATGCATTGGTCTGTTCAGCAGCTGCCTGGTGCTTCTTGGCTTC